CGGTCACCCGCCAGTAGTCCACCGATGTAAAGACCGTCGGACAGTACATTCGGCGGCCTAGTTCCCTCCCGTTCACGCTCTAGTGTTCGGTTTCCAGTGGTAATTAACTGCTCATTTATAGAGACTTCCAGTCCGCCGAAGTCTGACCAGGAGACGACCACAAAAGCCCACTTACTGTCTGCCTCCTTCATTTGATTTGGACTAACCTGAAATAAACACAGTAAAGCAAGTTGTTTCACAGTAATGAATGAATCCGTCAAAAACAAAAACATTTATGACATATACCTGTTGATAATAATACAGTGGTGTATTTATCGGGGTGTTTTGTTATTATTTAATCATTCCACATTTTATCACCTTGTGGAGTTGCACGGGAATTATAAGTAAATGCGCTTACGGTTGATCGTTGTGACAATTCATGCGGATATTTTTTTCTTAGGGGTGAGGGGGGCAGGCATAATGCGGTGCATGTGTGTTCACCCCGACGTCTAACCTTAAGCATAGCGATTACGGATACTCATATCTAGTTTCGGATGCAGAGTTCAGTTTTGGGGGCACGCTGATAACTTCCCTAAATATATAGAGAGCTTCTAATTATCAGAAAGAAGAGCGTGGCAGGCCAAGAGGGTAACTGTGGTCTATAAAACAGACACAATCTGGTGGTAGACCTACCGGCACATTAACTCAAAGTGGACAGAGAACTTTCGCATGTAAGAGGACGCGTTGGCAGATTCACAACTCGAAACGCCATATGTCAAAGAAATCCCGCTGCTGAACTGGATTTTATCATTTAGGTGTGCACATTTAGAAGCTACAAGTTGAGAATGCGTGAGGCGGTTATTCAAAATAAACGGCCTTCAGAATTTAATTTCCCAGTAAACATCTTTTTTTTGTAGTGGATTTTAATATGTTCATATTTGAGATGAAATTCATTGTTTTTGTACGAAATGCAGACCCTGCACAAATTCTCAGCATGTAGAGCATGTGTGTTTCATCGGAGGTTTAGTTGGTTCGCTGTTCAGCCAGCGATATTTCACTTTATCGAAGGCTGATGTGAGATATTTGTAAACACACAACTTTTAGGTTGCCAAGGACGATTTAATCCAGGCGGTGCAAAACAGCGACGCCAAGGGGCTGATGTATTTTCTATGCAAAGTCTTTCCTAAACTAGTTCCTGAGAAATCGCTGTGTGATCGCCGTAGCTAGTCCATAAACCAGTAATCTCATGTTTCCCGTTAAAAGCAGTGGAGCATGCAAAATAAACCAAACTATGACCAAAAAGAGGGAAATATGTATGACTGCATACTTTGCCTTGCAACAGTATTGTTTAATTACCAAATGTTTGCGTTTTGAATATAAGAGGGTCAGTTATCCCTAGAAACGCATAAAGATTCAGTAAATCTAATGCAATATTAGTAATTCACAGAGAGTCAATTGTCCCCCAGCCTTGATATTTCCCTGTAGCGCCGGTACTGGGTTCCCAAATTTCCATGGTAGGTTCTTACGGACGCTAAAAATGTAAGAGTGCCGGTTGCAGAACCATAATTGGGAATGTTAATTTCGATTTGAAGCGCGCAGTATAGAGTTCATTGAGAAAGTCTCATAGTGACGTGCAAGCAAGAACCCTTTCAGACCAAGGTTATGCGTATTTAAGTGCCCATTAATGACTTATTTTGGATCCGTTTACCAGAGCAGCTTCCGAATTCTGTCCAAGTAAAAAAACAATTCAACATGTGATTT